CCGGCAGCCTTGCCTCTGTCAGTGCGCCCCAGGGCAGCTGTGGCTACAATGTAGCTTGCCAATGTGTGTGTGCCTTAACAATGGCTGTCAGGAAGCCATTGTTAAGGAAGTGAAACAGGGAGGTCAGGAGAGAGGCATAACAGTGAGTGTTTACGACTGTTGAACTGGGGTTGCATTTCAGCCAGTAGTGTTGGTAATCTCACCAAAATAGGTGTAATTATGAACTCAGAAAATACCATCATGTTTTGATCCACTATTCAGTACCACATGGAAAACATCTAGTTGACAAAAAACATATTGGACTCACTCATTGTAAGACCATCAGTCATGGATGGGCCTCCCCAGAGCCCGAACCTCAACATTATTGAGGCAATGTGGGATCATTTTAACCGAGAACACTACACACAGGAAGCCAACATCCAAAGAAGAGATTTGAATGTCCTTCAAGAAGCCTGCAGAACTATTCCTGAAGACTGCTTAAAGAAATTAAAAGAAAGTTTGCCTAAGAGAGTTCAGAATGTGTTGAGAAATAAAGGTTGACTTTTAAACTCGCTAGAACTGTACTAATTCTGTTTTTGTCTTATATGCTGTTTTTTCAAATGTATTTTCTTGAGAAATATAAAAAATGGGAGCGCCTCAAGACGTTTACACAGTATTTTAAATATACTTCTTAAGATTTAATTATGTTATGTTACCATAAAGTATTGAGGACATTCAGTATTTCAAAGATTAAACTTTTTCCTGCAAAATGAGAAACTGAAGCAGAGACTAGTCAGTGTGCGGTTCCTTTGGGACGTGGATAATTCCTGGTAAACAGTGCCCTCTTCTGTCTCTATGGAGACAAGACACATGCTAAACCTGCTAGCATTGGCGCTAGCATCACCCAGCTGTTTCATCCATTTTGTTTAGCCTAGCTAAGCTGCGTGTATTTACAGTGCGGCAGAGATGGATGACGGCGACGAGCCAGGTTTAGTCCTCTCTCACAATACTTCGTCGGGCTCCAAGTCGAGTGGGGACAAGATGTTTTCCCTGAAGAAGTGGAATGCTGTAGCTATGTGGAGCTGGGACGTTGAGTGTGACACTTGTGCCATTTGCCGAGTACAAGTAATGGGTGAGTCCGAGGAGCTAACGGAGCTAACTTGGCTACTTGTACCTTTAAAACCCGAACGGCCCGGCGTGTGGAGGTACTCTAACATTGTTCTTCATTTTCAGATGCGTGTCTACGATGCCAGGCGGAAAATAAACAGGAGGACTGTGTTGGTAAGACCCTGCCAGCACTGACATATTTATTAGCAGCACAGACACTCGGCAGGTTAATCTATAGAAAAAAAGGAAAAAAAAAAGAAGAAGAAGAAGAAGCTAACAGTAGCTAGTTGGAGCTGTTAGACAAACTCGTTGAGCCAGGCAAAATACAAGATGATAACCTTTTACTTCTTTCTTTTAAAATATAAAGCAGAGATTTTATATGACAATTTATTAGCATTTTGATATAAATATAAGGTATCAAAGGGCACCTAATCTAATCCTTGGGGTGCTATTTTTGCATGGTAAATGCCTTTAATGAATAAGACTGTCGTGTTTTGTTTTTAGCTTATTGTAAATAGTTTTTCAATATGTGCCACTTATGCTCTGCCTTTGTGTTTCAGTTGTGTGGGGAGAATGCAACCACTCCTTCCATAACTGCTGCATGTCCCTGTGGGTGAAGCAGAACAACCGCTGCCCCCTCTGCCAGCAGGACTGGGTGGTTCAGAGAATCGGCAAATAAGCTGCACATCCAGGTGGATTACACCTGCGTGCACCCCAAAGCGGTGACAGACTTGGCAGTGATCACTGCAGAGCCTTGTGCGGAGCCGCTGACACCGCAGTTGTCCTCCTGCTTATTGATTGCATGTTTTCAGTAGTCCCGGTACCAGAGGAAGGACAAAATGAAAGCTGCACAGACTGGTTACTCATGGAGCCCTGAAGAAGATGGATGAAATATGTTGAATTGTTTGGTCACTTGTTAGCTTTACATTGGTGTCTGTGGTGGTGTTTGGCACACCTTGAATATGTGACCCTTTTCTCTTCTTTAAAAAAAAAAGAAAAAAAAAAGACTAAAGATCTGTAATATGTGGGGGGTTTTCAGTAAGAAGTTTGAATAAACTCTGTATGATATGATATGACTCACTGAACACTTTATTAGGTTTAGATGCTTGTTGTTATCATCATCATATCTAGGCATGTAGGTGTAGTCTGTGATCTACAGAAATTCAAACAGCATCAGAATGAGGAAGAAAGGTGAAGTGATTTTGAATGTCTCATGATTATTGGTGGCAAACAAGGTAATCTGAGTATTTCACAAAATACTAATATTCTGGGAAGATTTCTTGATGTCAGAGGAGTTTGGTCAGACTGCAGAGTATGCAGAAGAGCATCTCTGAATGCAGGTGCTGAACCTTAAAGCAGATGGGCTACAGCGGCAGAAGACCACCACCACCACCTTCTGTCAGCTAAGAACAGGAAGCTGAGGCTCCAGTTCAAACTGGGTGATGACAAAATGTTGGGGGAAAAAAAGTCCCCTGTTCAGATGAGTCTCAATTTCTGCTGCGAACATTCAGATGGTAGGGTTAGAATTTGGTATAAATTATAAACTGTATTCATCCAGTTTTTCATGCTATTCTGTCCATTAAATAAAAGAGGAAACAGAAAATCCAGTCATTTATATTCTGAGGTTTTAAAAAAATTATATTCAGAATTAGTACACATGTTGGTTGTTTTAAAACAAGCAAAGATATTAAAGTGAGTCAAGGTGGCGTTTAAGTCTTCAGACGCTTTGTTAGCTGTTGGGAAAAATCAATTCCTGAGCTGCTACTGAGCCAATTATGACTCATTTAGTGAAGACTATAATAAAGTTATAATAAACCAAGTGTGCATACCAAATTGCATGCACATATAGCCTTGTCAGTGGCATTATACTCTCATGAAGAGTTCGTTAACTCTACAATAACTTGTTAGGGTCCTTATCAGCCACCTCATCGTGTTATACTGGCAGCCCAATTACTGCACACAGTCACTTTGTAACTCCTATGAATAGACCAGGATAAAGCCTCTTAAGTTCAAACCACATAAGTTGCTTTCCCCGTGTGCCACATACGAATAAACCCTTAGCCACCAACAAATCCCTAAGGACGGTGGTGCTTTTAAGGACTCAAACATGCATGGCTCAAGAAGTGAGGGATGCTCAGGATGCAGGTGCTCAGTTGAGCGTAGAACTTGCAGATGGGTTAACGTCAGCGTTTTAAGTTCATCCGCTGCCCGCTGGTGTGCCACAGGATCCATCCAGCATGGGTGACCTGCTAGGATTGGACAACTTGGTGGCCAACACCACCTACCTGAAGGCCCAGCAGATCAATCGCAACGAGCTGAGAAAACGGAGACTCTCCCTGACGCTGCCCAAGCTGAAGAAGACCTCTGCTCTCCAGGCAGCAGAGGGAGAGATGTACGAGTCACTCTGCGAGCAACAGCCTATCGGGAGCAAGCTGTTCCAGCAGTTTCTCCTGACCTCTAACGACCAGTACGCGGCTGCTGCTGAGTTTCTGGATGAGCTGAGCAAGTGGAGCTTTGCCGAAGATGAAAAAAGAGAAAAAGCCAAACAGACGATCCTCGCCAAGTTCTGCCAGTCTCAGTCTACGGGATTCCTGTCCTACTTCACCGAAGAGGATGCTGAAACATGCAAGGACTTATCAGACAGTAACTTTGATGAGGTGATTTTGGACCAGCTGAGAGAAGCCACTAGAGAGTTCCTGAAGGGAAGACCTTTCTCAGAGTACCTGAAAAGCCAGTTCTTCTACAGGTTTCTGCAGTGGAAGGAGTACGAGAGGCAGAAGATCACTGACAAATACTTTTATGAGTTCAGGACTCTTGGAAAAGGTGGCTTTGGTGAGGTGAGTGCAAAAAACATTAACGTCAGAATAAAAGTGTTTGGACAGTCAACGGATTTTCCGTTAAATAATCCCCCTAAATCACCTGCTACAGAATAATGTTATGTCGTACAATTTATTATTGTGTATTATATTGTATCCTTTGTCTTGTCTTCCTCACTTTAATCCTAAATGGTGGCCGCCGCTCCCTGAGGCTTGTTCTGGAGGTTTCTTCCTGTTAAGAGGGAGTTTTTCCTTCCCACTTTCTCCAAGTGCTTGCTCATAGGGAATCATCTGATTGTTGGTTTTCTCTATGATATTGTCTTTATCTTGCAACATAAAGCACCTTTAGGCTGTTGTGATAGCAACATGGCTAGTTTGTCCTTTAGAGCAGAAAGTAGCTCAAACATGTTTCATATTGATTTGTCATAAATTTGTCCGTCAGGTGTGCGCGGTGCAGGTGAAGCACACGGGCCAGATGTACGCCTGCAAGAAGCTGGATAAGAGGCGTTTGAAGAAGAAAGGCGGTGAGAGAATGGCTCTCGTGGAGAAGCAGATTCTGGAAAAGGTCAACAGCCTATTTATCGTAAACCTGGCTTACGCTTACAACAGCAGACACCACCTGTGCCTGGTAATGGACCTGATGACTGGAGGAGACCTCAGGTTCCACATATACGACTTAGGGAAGAGAGGCATACGGATGGAGCGTGTGGTTTACTACACAGCCCAGATAATCAGTGGCCTCCTGCACTTGCACAACATGGGCATCGTGTACCGTGATATGAAGCCTGAAAATGTGCTGCTGGATGGTAAAGGACAATGTCGCCTGTCAGACCTCGGATTGGCTGTGGAGCTGTCCAAGGGCAAAATGATCTGCCAGAAGGTGAGTGTCTCTAGATTAGCCTTGACTTTCAGTGTCAGATATGTGCAGGATCAGAGGCTCTCTGTGGTTTGTGCAAGAGTAAGAAATTCTACTCTCCATACCAGAGAATCTCTTGTTTTATTGTCCTGCATGGCCACCCAATGCTTTGTATTATTTTTCTGCTTCACTAAGGAAATCCTCACTGACATTAACACTGAATTCTCTCACAGTGTGTTCACCTGCCATTCCAAGGAGCTTACCAGGAATAGATATATTGACTCCCAGTCCTGCTCAGGCCAACAACGAATAAGTGTACAGCCCTGTGTAACCCAAATGAATCTCATTAAAAGGTGCCTGACCTCATCCACGGTTGGATGCTGCGTAGCCTGAGAAATGTAAGGTAGATTGACCAGAGCCTGTTAGCATTCGCTGGCTAATCTTTGCTTTGCCAGATATGGCTTACAGGTGTCTGTCCAGGAACACAGTCAGAGGATTCACAGCAGGCCTCCACTCACTGGATGAGTCTCACAAGTGCCTATTAAAGCAGGCATGGTCACATACAGCCCACTTTGATCTGAGGTGTACAACTTGTGTTGTACAAAATGTAAAATGAAAAAAAAGGGAAAGTAATAAGCAAGAAATATATGTTGGCAGGTGCAGGTACAGGAGGACTCAAATGGCAGTGTGTAAAAAGAGGTTTTAGGTCTAGTTTTAAAGGACTGAGTGGAGGGAGCAGATTTGACTGTGAGGGGAACGCTGTTCCACAGTTTGGGAGCAACCAAAGAGAACACCCGGTCTCGTCTGAGTGGGGTCGTCTGATCAGAAGCATTCGATCTGCTGACCAGAGAGTTTAACTACTCGTTTATTTATTTAGTTTCAATATAAGTAGAGAAGTTCAACTTCAATCACATGTCTTGGTTTTTCTACCTGAAAAAGAAACGCTGCTGTAGGAAATGAAATCACTCTTTGGGCTTAAATTTGTAAGAAATGTGTAAGATTACAGAAAACTGTGTGGTTGTTTAATTTTTCAGACAGTCTTGTAATTTTAAAATTCAAAGCTTTAGTTCATTTACAAAAAAAAATCTCATTTTCTTTCTTTATTTACTGTGGACTGAATTAAAAAAAACTAAAATCTATAGAGCAGATATTGAAAAAACAGCTGTCATTTAATTATTTAGATTAGATGAAACTTTATTAATCCCTCGGGTGGGTTCCTCCGGGAAATTCAGAAATTCAGTTATTTATCGATTATTTAATTACATTTCTGCAATAAAGATTGCAAATTTATACCCTTTTTCCAAATTTTCCAAAGCCATCCAGTGGGCCAGATTGTAGTGTTTACCAGGCCGATTCTGGTCCTTGGGCCTTACATTTGACACCCCCGCTTTAAAGGATCATCATTTTCTCTTTATCTTGTTTTGGTGCATTCTAGCATCTTCATTTTTATCTTGATGTTTTATTGTTTTTTGTTACATTCAATTAAACAGAAGCTGTATATCTTATCCAGCTTCTTCTTGTTGCAGATAACTGAAATAATTATTCAAACTATAAATGATTTGTTGGAGTAGATTATCATGTTGACGTTCATTCCCTGCTTTATAATGGTTTCAGAAAAAGGTCTTTTTTTAACAGTTGTGTCTTTTAAATCTCGGACTTTAGTATTTCTGGCTATCAGAGACTGCTGTCTGTCAGCTCCACAACCAGCTCTTGAGCAAAATAATAAATACTTAAGTGCCCTAAACCTGCATTCTGTTCAATGGCCAGCAGAGGGCAACTCCTCTGTATGCAAAGGAAGTCAGACCCACAGAAGCCTTTGACAAAATTGTAACACCTGACAAGACCGTCAGTGATGCAAATATCTCATTAGCCGATCATTAATGCATTTAGACACAGAGAGAGAGTCAATGTGACCTAGTGAAGTTCAACCTGAGCACCAGAATGAACAAGAAAGGTGATGTAAATAAATTTGAATGTGGTGTGGTTGTTGGTGCCAAACAGGCTGGTCTGAGTGTTTCAAAGGCTGTTGGATCTGCTGGGATTTTCCCCACTCAAACATCTGCAGGGTTTGCAGAGCATGGTCTGAAAAGAGAAAACATCCTGTTCTCAGTTCTCTGGGTGAAAATACTTTGATGATGTCAGAGTGCCCCTCCTGTCAGCTGAGACCAGGAAACTGGGGCTACAATTTGCATCAAACGAGAAAAACATTTCCTGGTCTGATGAGTGTGGAGTTCTGCTGCGACAGACTTTGGTGTGAAGGACATGAAGCCTGGATCCATCCTGGCTTGTATCAACCCAGATAGCAAGGAGACGTGGTTTCAATGTTTAGTCAATATCAGGTGATTCCATTGAATCAACGATGAAATCTGATGTTGACCGAACGTCACTCTTGCACCCTTTTTTAATATTGAAACAACGTCATGTTTTGATATTGAATCACTGTTGAACAGCTTGCACACTTTGGGCCTTTAGGTGCCTATCAGAATCATAAATTGCTAAGGAAGCAGCAATGTTTTGTCGCCTTTTGTTAATTTCCTACCGTGATTATCCATTTCCCCCCATTTCTCCCACCCCATACTACATTCACACACCTCAGCAAATGACTGACAATTCTTTGGAGCTTAATTTAGTTGAATGCCACAACAAAATAACCCAAAAACCTGTAAACAATGAAAACCTAAATTCTCTTCTTGTGCCCTCTGTGTGTGGTCAGGCTGGTACGACTGGCTACATGGCCCCTGAGGTTCTGAAGCAGGAGTACTACCGCTACTCTGTGGACTGGTGGTCCCTGGGATGCAGCATTTATGAGATGGTGGCCGCCCGCTTGCCTTTCAGAGACTTCAGGGAGAAGGTGCAGAACGATGAGGTGACTCGCCGCACCCTGGAGGACGAGTGCAAGTTTGAACACAAATCCTTCGATGCTCCCACCAAAGATATTATCAGCCGCTTCCTCAAGAAGAGGGTGGCGCGTCGCTTTGGGTGCCAGTAAGAAAAACACTGAAAGTTTGAATGGTCTAGATGTAATGGAGCGAAGTCGCCCAGCAGCAGAAAAAGTCTCACTTCCTTTTTTTTACTTATGAAAACATGCCGTGGCTCTTGGTGTGGTTTTTACAAGAAATGGGACCAGGAAGTCTTTAATAAACAGAAATAAATATTTCAGCATTCTGAGGAGAAACATCTCAGTGTAGGTTCTCAGCTCATGTTTGTCTTAAGCGCTTGAAACGAAGGCAGCTGGATTTCTTTTTGCTTTTTGCTTTGTCCCCTCTCATCAAACAGGCTTCCTCAGTTCTAAAAACTGTCCGACATATTTAACCCCTGCTTGTGGATTTTCCTGCGCCCGCTTATCCAACACCAAATCCAGTCAGTTTACAGAACTGAGGAAGTCTCTTGAATGAGAGGTGAAACATCTCCACGAACCAAAGGGGCCTTCATAAGAAGCACTTAAGACAATCCTGAGTAGAGATTGCTCGATTTCGACCACAAATGATAGAAAAAAAGCATCAACATGAACACCGATGAAGTACTACAACCACACCAACACAAGGGGGCGCTAAATTTGTTCAAAAAGGAAATTATTACCTGAGCGAAAACGAAGGCACCGACTTGAATGTGCTGTGATTTTTATTTTATGACTTTCAAACTTCTCTGCTTCAGTTTATTTTTATATTTTTAACTTGTCGTCTTAAGTTCTCTCCAAGCATCACAACAAAGGGAGGGTGTGTCCTCGAAGCCTTTCAGAGGAACTTTGTGACCATCAGCTCTGCTTTTGGTCCTCTCCAGCAGCTCCATGTGACAAAAATGTACTTTGTGTGATTCTTTACATTCTCCAATTATAAAAATTTGTAGCCTATCAAACAAATTTCATATGTTTATATTTATATATTGGATGCATAAACGTTCATGGTCAGTCCTGAGTTTCCCAAGGAGCCAATGAGAAAAGTTAACAACAGAACACGAACAGATTTGTTTGCTTTTCCTGCCAACACAGCTGGCTGATCTGCAGCTGGACCCATTTATTTTTCTACTTTTACTATTTTTAAAGCCATTCAGCTGCTCTGAGTTTTATTTGTTAGCAAAGAAGGCTATTTTTAATTCGCTTCATTTGCACAAACTTACAGAGCCGCTTATAGGTATAGCTTCATAGCGGCTCTGTAATTACATAAATGCAAGAAGAACAAGTGTTTGCAAGTGTTTATTGTATTGACAGTGAAACTTTAGGTCACTGGAGTTACGTGTTTTCAATCATTTCAATTATTTAAACTCCTCAGTAATGTGTCACCTTCATTAAAACCTCTGAGTCAAGATAAGTGCAGAAAGGTTGAAGCTGGATGGAGTGGTGTAGAATATGGGTGTAAAAATAAAAAATCAACAGAAGGGGAAGCGAGGCAGATGATTCTGAATGCGTGGCAATAACTTCTCGTCACATATTTCTGACATGTTTTGTGTTAATGGACAAGGCATTTCTCTGAATGCCTCAAAGTAACACTTCCTCTTAATCCATCACCTTTAGAGGCGATGACCCACGAAGCCACGAGTTCTTCAACAGCATCAACTTCCACCGACTGGAGGCGGGCCTGCTGGAGGCCCCCTGGGTGCCAAAGCCCAACGTGGTCTACGCCAAAGACGCGGACGAGTTCAAGGACAACTCTGACATCAAGGACGTCACGTTTGACACCAAGGATGAGAAGTTCTTCAGGGAGTTCAGCACGGGCGCAGTGTCCATGCAGTGGCAGAAGGAGATGATTGACAGCGGCGTGTTTGACGAGCTGAACAGCGCCGCGGTCATCCAACGCGACCGAGAGACTGCGTGGAAAACCAGGCTGTGCGTCCTTTTCTAAGCACACTCACAGGAGGAATTTTGGACACTTGAATATGCACAGATGTCCTTAAATCGAAGTGCCTTCAATTATGTGCCTCGGAAACCTTTTTACGCGTGCCCTTTTTCCTTAACCTCAGTACATTTCCCCACATAAATAATTTCATTATGCAGCCACAGCCAAACATAATAGGACATTAGTAGCTGCAGTAAAATAAACTTGCAGTATTAATGCCCAGATGGAAAACATGCTGACATTGTACTGCAGCTGCGGCTTTATACTTTGCCCTCTGTTCCCGGTGAGACAGCAGATCCCAGCACCTTCATAGTTTCCATTACATCACTTGGCAATTTTTGGCAGGCAGCTGTTTACGTGTGTTTGTAAACAAGCTCCATAATGGCTGTGTGTCATCACACTAATGCGCCACCTTTCTATTAGTGGCCCACGTTTCACACGGGACCTCTGAAGAGCCCTTCTTCTTTCCCCCTCTGATGAGCTCCTGCTCAGGGTCGCGCTGATGAAGTCTCTCAGCGCACCACTGAGCGCCGCCAGACGCTCACGGAGTTCGCTCAACCTCCCGCGGCACTCATCATCATCATCCCCATTATCCCGCGCTGCTCTGGTATTTACAAGCACTGGATGACTCGTTCACTAATTTTAACGACCGAGGGAGACAAATTGTCGTACATGCACAAAGTTTTTTCCACTTGAGAACATGTTAACATAGATTTTCTGGCACCATCGAGCCAACGCCAAACCCCTTTACAGCTCCCTCAAATCACCCTTTGTTTATGCACAAACCCCTTGTTGCTGTGCTCAGTGCACAGCAACAACAACAACAAAAAGTAGGCTGTTTGGGAAAACCTTTCACACACAAGTTGCCTTTAAGGATCCATAGTTTCTTCTGATTCATGACTGAAGACTCAGGTTGAAGTAAATCAACGGACTGTTACTGCTAATCAATCGTTGCAGAGTCTACTGTAGCTTCTGCTTGGAAAACAGCAGATTTCAGGGGGGCAGGTTTGGCCTTTAGGCTACCAGAATCCCCTAGGTGTCTTATTTTTGACTTATTTTTACTTATAAACTTTTAAACAACTGCAACTTAAGAAAAGTGGTGGGCAGATCGATCCAGATATCGATATTCTAGATACCAATGCTGGTATTGGTATCCGACCGATACTGGCGCTATAGAATCGATACTTTAGTTTTTGAAAATGAAAAAATAAATTCCAAAAATGTCTGTGAATGTAATAACCAACAGAAGTTGACCCAAACTGCTTTAAAGACAGGCACAAGACAGTCTCCAAAAACATTCAGATTTAAAATACATAAAAAGCTAAAAGTTGTGTTTTGTTGTGTAAAATAATTATTGTGGAAAGTAAAAATCACAGTGATTTAGTGGTCATTAAAATGTGCTCAGAATTTCCAAATTGATGCTGATTGTTCTCATTAATAATGGCACGCTGCTCCCCTACAGAAGCTGGCTTTATAGGTTAAAAGTATTGGTACTTGGTATTAGTATATACTTAGTATTGGATCAGTACATACTACTACTGCAGTATCGCACACCAGCAAATAGAAAAAACATCACAATAACTAAACAAAAACAAAACAAAAAGTTTCACAAAGCACAACGGAACAGTTTTTGGGGAGACAATAAGGTGACGGACCAGACGCGGATGTGACAAGCTAACAGTAAATAGCTAATACCAAACATGTTTCTACAGTATTACATGAATCATGTGACTAAAACTGACACGCATCACAGCTCATCTGTCACATTGTTCTGTCCCCGAAAACATTTCCGTTGTGTTTTTCTATCTGCTTCTGTTTTCTTAAGTTGCAGTGCATTTGACCTCTCAGGGCCACCGTACCTTAGTGCCAAACAATGCCAATCATGTTTTGTAATGCATTTCTGAACACAGAAATGTGCTTTTCTTGCAGTTTAGATGATATGCTCTTGTACTTTCAACAACATATTTTGGTTTGCAAGGATTTTATGGATCATCTTTTTTGCTACTGATGCTGGCAAACCTTTTTTTTTTAACAAGCTGTGATGAAAGAAAATAAAAGCAAATTTCCAAAAAGCTTGAGTGAAATAAAGTTATTTCCCTGTCCTCCTGCCGCTGATGATTTCTGCAAACAAGTGAGTCACAAGAGCGATGACATGTGAAGTTACAGGTCGAAAGCTACGCAGTCATTGTGATTATCCTCTTGTTGCTCATCTCACGGTTGCAGATCTCATCTGTCATCATTTATCCAAGCAGCCCGGTGTCGATCTGAAAAACAGAGCTTGTGTCTTCAGTTACATCATGTTGCTTCAATATTTGATTCGGATTGCTTCATCTGTCACTGTCAGCGTAACCCTCCAAAACAAAAAACAAACCCCACAGCACGTTTAGGTAATGAGGGACACATAAACATGTGTTGCGCTAATTCCTGCACGGGCAGGGGAGAGGCAACCTTACAGGGCGGAGGAGTGGCCCCCCCTTCACGCTCCACTGTCACAAGATTAGAGGGTGCTTCAAGATGGAAATCCAAGACGCAACCTGATCATCGTGGCTGTGAAGGCAGAGTGGGGAGTCCACTGTGGACGACGTGACGACAAGGCAAACTCAGCAGAAGGTCGCCAGGAACATGTTTTTACCAGGCGCGTACAAGCTGCTGCCAGGGTTTAGTTCCCCACGGCCCAGCGCTGTAATGCTGCCCTCCAATTCACAAACAGCACAAACAACTCTGCAACACACACACAACATGTACTATAAAACATTTGCACTCAGGCATGCAAATACACACTGGTGCACGCACCTTTCTGCATCTGTAGCACCGATTGTGCAGAAGAAGATGTGCACAGATCCCACAGAAGACTTTCACGCACTCTCTCTCTGATCCACACACACATACACACACACACAATCTTATTACCTCTGTAGAAGCAGGCGTGGGGTTTTAGAGATCAAAGCAGGACAGGGTGTAATTTGGTATCTGCGTTTGCTACATGCCCATGCTCTGGATTCACATCAAAGGCATGTGCCACACTTCAGTTCTGCCCTGGCATCCTCGGGATGGTATCACACCACTGATATCGCTGCTTTTTCCCCTTTTTTGGCTCTGCGTGCGTATGTGTGCGTGTTCTTCAAAAGGCGTAAACATGAAAATTACACCGAGCGATGTTTATATACGCACCTCTATGTGTGTGTGCGTGTGAGTGTTTGGGATAGGTGAGAAAATGGTTAAATAGTAGAGACAGAGAGGCCATTGTCTGCTGAAGGAAAGCGAGAGCCAGCCATGAGGGAGAGAATGAAGAAGGAAGAGAGCTGTCTCGTACTCAAAGCTGGTGTGAGGTCTATATTTTTAGGATTAAAGTCTGTTTTTAAATGGTTGAAATCTTTTCTTTTTCTTCCTTCTAGGCAAATTTCACGCCATTCAGCGTAACAAAAATATAGAAAAATTTGAACCGAGAATCGAGCACCAGATCAGGACCGAGATCCTCATCCCGCTGAGCTGCCAGTGTAAGCCTCACTGCTACAGCCCAGAAAGTCTTTTGCTCTTTTGGTTCACGTTCAATTTTCTAAGCTTCATTGCTTGAATTCTTAACATTTCCACAAATAAGTGAATTCGTGCTTGGCGGTCCAACAGAAACAGAGCGTGTGTGTGCATGATGTTCTTCCCCACTGAGGCCCAGTGGGTAGTTTCCATGGTGCCCAGACCTCAGACCCCTTCCAGTGCCAGGGGGTGGACAACGTCATGGACAAGGCACACACACACACAC